AGGCGAAGGGTGACGATGAGGAGCAAGGCGGCGACCATAGAGTGTATCATCTGTTTGTTGTTTGCGCGTGCTTTGGGGTGGGGCCTAGGGGGTGTAGGTAGAGAGCAGAGGCTGACGTATTTGCTCCTCGTCCGTTCACGTTCCTCTGCAACACCATCATAGTCCCCACCTCGTCCTCATCCTTCCTCCTTCTCCTCGTCGCCCCCCGCCTCCATCCTCCAGCAGACGGTCTCCTACGCGCCAGCTCCCGCGCCTGGTCCTCCTTTTCTGCCGGTTTTGTTTCTCTTCGTTTTTTTGGTGTGAAAAAATGTGTCGCACCTTATCCGTTCCCCCCGCCCTGGCGAAGCCCCCCAGAGGCAGTACACGTTCACACCGCGCCCCTGTTCACAAGGGCGCCCGTGCTCTCCGCCCTCCCCTTCCGCACCACGCCCTTTCAAAACCCCTCGCCCCCTCGAGAGGGCCGCTCTGGCAGAGGCCCGCCCCGGCAGAGGCCCGCTTCCGCAGAAGACCGCTCAGGCAACACGGGTCCCACCGGGAACCGCCCCAGGAGGAGGAGGAGGAGGAGGAGAAGGAGGAGGAGGAGGAGGCGGAGGAGGAGGAGGAGGAGGAGGGGGAGGAGCAGGAGAAGAAAACAGAGCATACAAAAAGGAAGAGGACCGCTCCGGCAGAGAGGCCCCGCTCCTCCGGCAGGGCGAGCGCTCCGGCAGCGGCCGCTCGGGCAGTGCTGCCGCGCTCCGGCCCAGACCTCGCCGTCGGACGCCTCGCCCGCCCGGCCCGCGGGAGCCGCGGGCCCGACGCCCCCGTCACGCCCCGCCCGCCCAGCCCCCCGCCCCGTCGGTGCCCTTCTCGGCCCGCCCGTCGGGGCCCGCCGGCTCGCGCGGGCGTCCTGCGGGCGAGCGGTCTTTCAAGCATTGCAAAAAAAACATTTGCAAAAAAAAAAAAAACATCCAGAAAACAAACAAAATCCAACGAAGCGTCCTGGCTCGCCCATAGACCTACCACACAATGTTCTAAGAACCTTTCGCGGTTTCCAGTGGATGTTCTTAGAACATCTCTGACGGAGCCTGCCCTGTTTTACCACATCGGGTTCATGTTCTAAGAGCATTGCTTTTGTTCCTGGAACATTTCTGGGTTCTGAGAACATGTCGTGGTAGGACTATAGAAATGCCGGGGCGGTCGTTCCCTGCGCAAGTCTTGCGGGTGAGCGGTCCTGTGAGCGAGCGGTCTTCTGGGCGAGCGGTCTCCGTGCGACGGTGCCCGGACAAAAAGTGTCCACGCACATGGCGGGAAGGCGATGCAAGACACTTGCGTTGCACCCCTCCCTCCCACACCCAAAGCTGAAGTGTCCACATGTTGTTCCTGGCCTTTGGCCTACCGCCTAACCCCGTCAACATTGAATTCAGGGGAAGGGGGTTACATATGTTTTTCCGACGTACTTTAATGACTCAAGGTCTTGGCGAGACACGCGTGGGCACTTTTAGTCCACCTACTGGAGAGGTCTCCGGGCCAGCAGTCTTCTTAGCGAGCGGTCTTTGGGTGGCCTCGTACCCCTTGGTGCCCCCGCCCTTTGGCATACCGTCGCGTCTCACACCACTCATCCACCCCCACCCCGCTTCTGTTTTCATGGGCTGGACCTCGGCTGCGAGGATGATGAATGGATTGTCAAGGGAGGGGACGCGATAGAGCGAGCGATCCGGGAGGGGAGGGCGCGGATGGGGTGATCGTGCATGCCTTTGTCATCCCCAGGAGATCCGAGAGTTGCGCAAGAAGCAGCTCCGCGTGTGGCTGTTCCACGGCGACGCGTCTCGCCAGCGGCACTGGCAGCCTCGTCGTCTCATTCGTTGGAGCTTCGAGCCAGTTGGCACTCATCAGCGCGCCCCTGAACCAAGAACTGCAACGTATGGCGTCGATCCACCAATCCGAAGCACATGTCAGATAATTGAGCCTCGCTCTCGGCTTGGCGCCGCGGGTGCGTCGTTGCTGGACAGGCAATATTTCGGATTGCAGGCAGCCGTTGCTTGTCCAAACCTCCTGGCTCCGCCTGGACGCCATTGACAATGTCTAACGGTTACGTGTTCTGACGCTTGCATGGATGGAATTGTTGTTGTTTGAATGTACCCGTTTTTTGCGCAATATTTTCGCATTGCCGAAAACCGGTAGACTGTCCCGTCCTCTTCCGCGTATCCCACCCCATCATCCATCTTACGACCCCCATGTTCTTACCCGTCTCTTGCGCAATAGTTTCGCATTGCCGAAAACCGGTAGACTGTCCCATCCTCTTCCGCGTTTCCCACCCCACCATCCATCTTACGCCCCCCATGTATGTACCCGTCTCTTGCGCAATATTTTCGCATTGCCGAAAATCGGTAGACTGTCCCGTCCTCTTCCGCGTATCCCACCCCATCATCCATCTTACGCCCCCCATGTTCTTTCTGATTCCGTCGATTATGCTGCTGTTCTTCCTCATAGTCTGTTGCGAAGGCCTTACGTCTGGTGCCGCCGACACGACACAGAATTATGACGACGACGACGACCACCACCACCACCACCACCGCCACGACGGCTGCCACGACGGCAACGACAACGCGGAGGGGGAGGGGGAGGGGGAGGGTTTTGCTGCTGCTCCTCCTCACGGTGTTTTCCCCCTGCTTCCCCAGGCGATGCGGACAAGATTGTGAGCGTGAACGGCTCGCAGGGCCCCTTCGCTGAGCTGGGTGGCAGGGCGCGCGGAGAAGACCACCTGCGGCTCACCATCTACAAAGACCCGCGCCCGCCCCCGCCACCGCCTCCTCTGCTTCCCTCCCCCCCCTCCCTCTTTCGCCTCCCTCCCTCCCTCCCCCCTCCCTCTGTGCCCTCCCCCCCTTCGGAGAAGAAAAAACGCTATAAACATAAACTTTTGGCGCTCCGCGCAGATTTCTTGGATTCGCGCCTGGCGCCGCCCCTGGCGCGCTCCGCGCGCCAGGGAGGAGGGTCTGGCGCGGAGCCAAGACATCCGCGCGGAGCGCCAGAAGTTTGTACTTGTGTGTGTGTGTGTTTTTGTTGTTCTTCTATCCCTCCCTCTGCTTCCCTCTGCTTCCCGCCCCCCTCTGCTTCCCTCCCTCTGCTTGTGTGTGTGTTGTGTTTTACTTCTATCCCTCCCTCTGCTTCCCTCCCCCCCTCTCTCTTGGACTCTCCCCCTCCCGCCGCTCCCTGCCGCCCCCTTCCGTGCCTCCCCTCCCTGCCTCCCGTCGCGCAGCTTCCTGACGCGGGTCCCCGCCCCTCCCTGCCCCCCCCCCCCTGGCCAGAGACCCTGGCCGCCTCCCCCCCCCCCCCCTCTCTCCAGCGGCGAGCGCAAGCGGGTGCTGCGGGGGGCGGTGCCTGACAGGAGGACACGGGGCTTCTCTTGGACGGCAGGGCGCCTCTCCGAAGGGCCCAGAGGGGAGTTAGGAGGAGGCTCCCGAGAGGCCTCCGGGAGCTTCGCAGAAGCCCCCCCCGGCGTCTCAGAGGCCCCCCCCTCCCTCGCGCCCCCCCTGCCTCCCCCCTCCCCTTCCCTTCCCCCCTCCCCCTTCCCTCGCGCCCCCCCCTCCCCTTCCCCTCCCCTTCCCAGGCCCGCTCCCCTCCCCCCCCTTCCCTCGCGCCCCCCCCTCCCTCGTGCGCACCGCGAAGCTCTGCGCCCCAGCTTGTCTTCCTGCCCCGCCCGCGGGAAAAAAGTGCGCCCCGCTTGGAGCTCTCGCCCCCCGCCCCCTTTTCCGACAAAAATCGGGGGTGGACAGACCTCCTACCCCGACACGTCGATTAAGGAATTGGCCCTTTTCGGCTCGCGAGAGGGCGTCGCGGCCGTCATTTTTGCGGGTCCAGGTCCGTCGGTTTCGGTCCCAGGCCGTTTTCACTAAAGGGAGGTTTACTAAAGGGAGGTTGGTCCACCGCCGAGGAAAGGGCGATGCTCCGAATCCCTTCTGAATCGTCCCCCGGGTCCGGTTTTTGAAGGCGCCTTGTCTGTAATTGGGGGGTCCGGTTTATTGGGGCGCTTTCTTTGGACCAGAGCCTAGGGGGTCCGGTTCATCAGGGCGCCTGGTTGGAGAGGGGAGTCCAGAGTATCAGGTCGCATTTGGAGGGGGGCCCGGCTTTTCTTTGGGGGGGTCGATTGATGAGGGATTTGGAGTCTACCGATACGGCTGCTCGTCCTGGGGAGCCCTCGCCGACACGTCTGCATGTCGCATCGAGGTGCTGGTCAGAACGGTCCCCCCCCCAGGCGAGGCCTGGGGGATACAGTGGAGGCCCAGGCCAAAGAAACACCCTGCTTGCCTCCAGGGCACCCTTTTGGAAACGTCAAAGCGGCCAAAACATGTTCCAAGGTTTGACAAAGCTATTGGACTATGCGTGCCCCCAGTCATTGTGGAACCTCCCGGGGGGGAAAGGACATGAATGAGACGGACGACGAGGAGGACACCATTCGGGATCCTCTTGTGACTCCTGGGGCTCACTTGTCTCTCAAAGCGGCCAGGGCTTATTTATCTGGTTTCAAGTTTCGCTCCTGGAATGTTGAAATCGTAGATCGAAGTTCTAGAATTGCACAAACATGCAGTCTTTCGAGCGGAAGCGAAAACCAACTGTGTTGGAAGTGGCAGTTCAAAAAGGGATTGGAGCGGCCTTTCCCGTAGACCCTTTAACGGCGATGCAGGTAACGGCGATGTAGGTTTCGGTATTGTGGGAACGCGTGGCTCATGCTTTCCTGCAAGTCACTGTGTCGTTGTCGTTCGATACATTGGCATATGGGAAATGTAGGAAAGCGTCGTTCGTGATGTCCTACAAGTTGGTTCCCAACACCGTTAAGCAACATCGCCGTCAGCGTGGCCTTGGCTTTCTCTGATCAAGTCGGCATGCTCTTGGCGACGGGCCCAACCATGCGCAGCCGTGAGTACCGCAAGGCAGGTGGGACGACGGACGGCATCTCCCTATGGGACCAAACTGTGCGAGGGTGTGCCCAAAGTGGGCGGTGCCTCCATGCGGGCGCTGGCGCTGGCGCCGTTGATGGGGCTCTTTTTGGCCCACGCGGTGCGAGGAGTGTGCCGACATGATGTGGCGCCGCCACGCGAGCGCAGGCATTCTGGGCTCAGCTGGACCTCCCCGTGGGGCCACGAAGCGTGTGAGGCGCGTGGCCGACCTGCGGCAGCGCCGCCCTGCGAACACTGTCATGTGGCTTTTAGATGGGGCGCCTTGTGGGTCCACGAAACGGGTGAGGGGTGTGCCGACATAAGGCGGCGCCGCCATGTCAACGTTGGCATGTCTGCCTTTGTTGGAGCTCCCTGTGGGGCTGCGAATCGTTTGAGGGGTGTGCCGAAATGAAGCGGCGCCGCCCTGCGAACGCTGGCATTCGGGCTTTGGTTGGAGCTCCCTATGGGGCCACGAAGCGTGTGAGGGTGCGCCGGAATGAGGCGGCGCTGCCATGCGAACGTTTGCATTTGGGCCTTAGTTGGGGCTCCGTATGGGGCCGCGGTGCGTGTGAGGGGTGTGCCGAAATGAAGCGGCGCCGCCATGCGAACGTGTGCATTTGCCGAAGCGGTGTCCCGAAATGGTTGACATGCGGCGGAGGACAGGGGCAGGGGTTGGAGGAGGGAGGAGGGGGAGGACGGCGGGAGGAGGTGAGACGTTGGGCGCTGTCTCTGCAGAACGAGGACCCAACACCACAGTACGACTGGGAACAATCGCAGTTGAAACGGGTTGCACAGCTACATGAAATTGTTCGGGCCGTCGAGGGGGGCATGCGGATTCCAGAAAGGAAAAACAATTGCGCGGATGACCGCAGCGAGCATGGGATCACAACGGTTCGCGTTTTGTCAGGAGATGGGAATTCCAACGGAACCGAAAACACCAAGACGTGAAAGTTCGAAACGGATGAGACAAAACAGCGATTTGGTCGTTGTGATGCACGTCTGAGTCCTGGATGCCTCCTGGAGGGAGCTTTTTTGTGGGGGCCTCCTGCGGCCTCGCAGGGGCCTTTTGAGGGCGTCTTGGAGGCCTCTGGTGGCATCATGGGGCTCTCTTTGGCCGTCTCAGAGCTCCCTTGGCCCGTCTGACGCGTTTGGAAGCCGTCGCAGGGCCTCTCCGGGATGTCTTTGGGCCCCCTCGGGTGGCTTCAAGCAAATATTCGGGGTCTTCTGGGCCTCATTGGGCCGTCCCGTGGCCCAGAAAGAAGCAAAAGAGAGCGGCGCGTGCCACGATGCCAGTGGTCGCGACTGGACATGGGCCGAGGGCACCACAAGCTGGAGTTATGTTTCTACGTTTGGGGTCGCCAGCGAAAGCTTACAGCCTGCAACTGCTCTCGCGAGGAGGGGCTCAGGACGACAACGACGAGGAAGAGCCGGAGGAGCCCGAGGAGGAGGAGAGTCTTTTCGGCGTCCGCAATGGCAGCACGATGGTTCTAGCCCTTTTGCCCCCTCGTTTCCTGCTCGCCGTGCCTCCTTGGCAGCGCGCACACAGGGGTAGGGGGATGGGGGGAAGGCTTCTTAGAAGGAGGTTGCTTCTTAGAAGGCGCAGGCCTTACATTGACAGACAAGGCCCGCGCCTTCTAAGGAGCAGGGGCGGTTCTAAGAAGCCTTCCTCCCTCCCCCTACCCCCCTCTGCGCGCTGCCACCCTCCGTTGGTAGCCCCCTGAGCGGCTCGCTAACTCCGCCCCCTCGTTCGGCCGCCTCCTCTTCCTGCTCCCCCTTCTGGCATGGTGTATCACAGCGTGCCCCAACGGCACCCCCGCCTGGGCCGTTCCGCTGGCCCAGACTTCCCCGCGGTGGCTGCAGCTGCCTGTCTGCCCCCCCCCCCCGCCGCCAGGACGTCGGGCACAACTGCTGGGGGAAGGCCGCCCCCCCCCGCCGCGGCACGGGCGCTTCGCGCCACAGGCGCCGAGGGACGTGCCCTCCACCTGGGGGTCCCCAAACGGTGTGGTGACCACACCGTGTGGTGAGCCAGGTGTGATTCGGGGTGACCGCGCGGTTTTGGGACTCGCGTCGCTCTCCGAGGACGTCTCGGTCGAGGGGGGCCTCCGTGGTCCCAAGACGGTGCGGTGACGGACCGTGCGATGAGGTCTTGGGATTCCGATGTCACCGCACGGTCTGTCACCACATTTTCTCGGGAACCCCAATCCACTTCCCAGGGGTCCCGCTCGGTCCCGCTTGCGTGGCGTCACCGCGCTTGGGTCCGCTTTGACAGGGAGCCTTCCAGCAGTCGGGTGGTCGCGCGTGTTTGAGGCCCCTCTGGGGGCCGTCTGGAGGCCTCTCGGGCTCCTGTCGGGCAGTTCTGGAGCCGTCCTGGGGCGATTTCGCGAGCCTCTTGGGCCGTCTCGGACGCTCCCAGGGCAGAGAAAGCACGAACTTGTTGAGACATCCATCTCTCTCTCTCTCTCACTCTCTTTCTCTCTCTCTCTCTCTCTCTCTTCCCAGGGGCCACGCCCAGAAATCTGCGCTGTGCGGCCAGAGGCTCTCGGGACGGTCTCGTCGGTCCGCGGCGGGCTTCCCGCCTCGGCGTGCTCGGTGTCCACGTCGGCCTCGCGTGCCGGCGTTCTCTGGAAGCCGCGCCCGGATTGCAAAAAAAACCCAAATGAAGGATTGCAAAAAAACCCAGGATTGCAAAAAAAACCCGAAGGATTGCAAAAAAACCCAGGATTGCAAAACAAAAAAAATCCTGGAACGAAGGATTGCAAAAAAAACCCTGGGTTTTTTTGCAATCCTGGGTTTTTTTGCAATCCTTCGAGCGGGGGCGAACCTGGTGAGGGGGATCGCGGGTGACAGGTCCGGCCGCCTGCGATCCGACTCGGTGCGATTCGATCCGCTGGCGGGAGCCGCGATGTCGGTTGGGGTCGCTTGGGCTCGGTTCGCTGGCATCGGCCAGGGCCAACTGGAGGAGCCGGGCTCGGCGGTTCGATCTCGATCCGATTCGGAACGACTCGCTGTCGATTTCCCGATCCGATCCGATCTCGCGGTTCGACTCGGCTCAGTCCTGCCAGGTTTCGCACGTCGTCGTCTTTCGGAGCCGCGTCCAAAACGGGGTGGCGAACCCCGGGCCAGAGCGGGGAGCGGGAATCGCGGGAGACCGTCCGGAGGCGCGCCGGCGCCCATGGAAGGAGGCGCGCTCGGAGGACGCGTCTGGCAGGTGTGTCTGGGCGCGGGCAGCCGGGAGGTGCGCAGGGCGGTGCAGTGGAGGCCCATGCCCAGAGGCACCCTGCTCGCCTCCAGGGTGCCCTGGGTTTCCTGGGCTTCGATGGTTCTGCTCTGGAAGGCGTGACGCTCCCACACCCAAAGATCGATGGACGTCCTGGGGTCTCAGGCTTGGGTTTCTCGTTGAAGGTTTTCTTGTGGATCAGCCTCCACTGTATCGAGGGGCGCTCGGGCCCCGCCGCCACCGTGCCCGGGCTGCGGGCCTGAGGCTTCGTGGACATGCGCTGGGATCTCGTCGGGGTCTGCCGGGTAGTTACCTCCCGAGGGCAGCAGGTGCGTCTTGGCGCGGGCATGCAGGCGGTGCCCAAGGTGTCATCGAAGGGCGCTCGGACCATGCCGCCCGCCACCGTGCCCAGGTTTTGGGGCGGACGAAGGACGTGCACGTACATGAATCTCCGAGTTGGCATCGAAGGTACGCATTGCGCGAACGTTCGTATCACGAGGTTGGAGTGATGGGTGCGCCGAGATGAGTGGTGCGGGCGCATGCCGGCGGTGCCACTGGGGCCTTGGGCAGAGCTGCATGTGGGGCCATGCAGCGTGTGAGGCGTGTGCCGAAATCAGTGGCGCGGGCGCATGTGGACGGTGAAATTCGGGCCTTCGGTGGAGCTCCCTATGGGGCCACGAAACGTGCGAGGGGTGTGCCGACATGGATGTCGCGCGCGCATGTGGACGGTGCCATTTGGGCCTTGGGTGGAGGTCCTTCCGAGGCCTCGAAGCTTGTGAGGGGTTTGCCGAGATTGGTGGCGATGGTGGTAATCAGAACAGCAACCACAATGACGATGATGGTGATGATGACTGCGATGATGATGATGATGATGATGATGATGATGATGATGATGATGATGATGATGATGATGATGGCGATGGTGGTGGCGATGATGATGTTGATGATGATGATGATGATGTTGATGATGATGGTGGTGGTGGCGGTGGTGGTGATGGTGATGGTGATGGTGATGGTGATGGTGATGGTGATGGTGATAGTGATGATGGTGATGATGATGGTGATGACGGAATTGACGTTGACGATGATGAGGACGATGATGAGGATGATGATGATGATATTGATGATGTTGGTGGTGGTGGTGATGATGGCGAGGAATGGCGATGGTGATGGAGATGATGATGGGGATGATAATGATGAGGATGGGGATGGGATGGTGGAGGTGATGGTGACGGCGATGATAATAATGATGATGATAATGACGATGCGGGCGATGATGACGACGATGGTGATGCTGATGAATCCTTTGGTGATGATTATGATTATGACGATGATAATGATGTTGTTGATGTGGATGTTGTTGATGATGATGATGGTGGTGATGATGGTGGTGATGGTGATATGATGATGGTGATTGTGATGGTGATGGTGATGGTGATGGTGATTATGGTGCAGGAGGGGGTGAGGAAGAGGAGCGAGGGAGACGCAGGGTGCTGCCTCTCCAAAGCGGTGGCCCGGCACCACAAGGATGGCTTGGAATGACGAGGCGAGCCCCCGCGCTGTGAGGCCTACAAGACCTCCGAGCTCCTCGAGTGGCTCATCCAGCCAGCGGGCCAGCCAGCGGGCTGGGAGCACGAACGGCCCTCGTTACGGCCACCAGTCCAATCATGCCCCTCCTCCTGCCCATCCCTTTCCTCCTCCTCCTCCTCCTCCTCCTTTTGCTCCCCCCTCGATTTGCCTCGTCCAACCCTCCGCTCCCTGCTGCGGCAACGCCGCTGGGCCCCCCCACGCCCCGTCGACGCCGACGGGCGCCCGCCGCGCGCGACCAGAGCCCACAGGCCGACTGCAGCCGGACCGAGGTATGAGATCGAGGCCGGTTCGGGAAGGGCACCCTCATGCTCTTCGTGCCTGCTGGGTATGATGGTGCATCCTGGGGAGGGTACTCGCAGGCGATTTCTCTCCCCCAATCCCCGACTTCCGCCAGAAAAGTTTGGTCGCTCAGAAAAGGGGAGGAATCTTGGGATACATCCCGAGGGGGCTATTCGGACGCACCCCTGTCGAGGATGGACGCCCCCCCCTCGTATATCCCAGGGTTGGGCCCCAAATTGTTGATCCTCTCGAAAACCTCACGGAGCCTGGGATAGGGGTCGACGCATCCCCTGTTAGGTACCCGTGGATGTCTCGGGGGTGGACAGGCCTCCTACCCCGGCACGTCGATCAGTGAATGGTCCGTTTTCGGTTCTCGAGAGGGCGCCGTGGCCGTTCTTTTCCAGGCTTGCGCCCGCCAGGTTTGGGCCTCAGGTCGTTTTCACTAAAATCACGTTTTACTAAAGGGGGGTCTGTCCATCCCCGAATGTCCCGTGCGAGTTAGCTGGCGGCGGAGGGTCTCTTGTTCTCGAAGGGTGTTCCTCTGTCCCAGGTCCGGTTGGATTCCACCGCCGCTAGAGGTTGGGGGAGGAGGGGGGGGGATGTTGCAGGAGAGACAGGCCTAGCAGCGGTGCACTCCGACACAAGCGGTGGCCTCACCGCCGTGCTCTCCGGCACACTCGGCGCCGTATTCGCCGTGCTCTCAGGCACAGGCGAATCGGTCAAGCCCGCAAACGTAGAGTCGCAACGGTCGAGGGTCGCGAAGTCTCTTAGGACTCGAGTGTGCCGGGGGGGGGGGAGGAAGTTGAAAACATCGCGAGCAGAAAAGGCGAAGGATTACTTTCGACCATCGTGGTAGCACTGCTCGTGGCCTTCGTAGTTGAGCTGGTGGCCTTGGCAGCTTTGCTTTTGGCTCTCGTATCAGGAGGGGAAAAAACCACACAGACAATGAATCGTCGATCCCCCAGAAAATATGGGAAACTGTGGGACGTGGGGGGGAAGACAGAAGCCCAGAAAAGATTGGAACATATATATATATATATATAGGGAATATTCTCATGTGTGTGTATTTATTTGTGTGTGGGTCCCAGGGGCCCCTTCATCGTAGCTCTGCCTGCGACCCCTGCTCGTGGCCCCCGAAGCCCTGCCGCTCGCTCTCGCGGCTCGTCCGCTGGTCCCCCCGGCGGCGCTGCAGGGTGGCCCAGCCGAGGTCTCCTGCCGGGCCCCGGCAGCCCTGCTGGTGGCCCTCGTGGTTTCGGGGCGGAAAAGAGGGGGGTGATGACTAGGGGGGGGGTGGATTTCATGGCGCGGGCGATGATTTTTCCCCAGATTTCGTGGCGCCTCTTCTTATTTTAGTACGTCCCAGGCCCCCCCGCCGGGCCGCGCACATGCCGCCGGTCATGATCTGCACCCCCCCCCCCTTTGGACACCCCCCTCCTGGCCGCTCCCGATTCTGGGGCTGTAGTGGCTCAGCTGGTGGCCCTCATACAAGCCTCGGAACAAATCAGCGAACACATGCCACGTTCATCCGTCAACGCCTCCCCCTCCCCCCCATGTTCAAAGTTGGCGGTGGGTCAGATGAGGTGCACTTCGGCCGCAGTCTCCCGCGCGCGTGCCAACGTTGAGTTTGGGGGGGGAGGGGGAGTGTTCAGTAATTGTTTCCCTCTACCGTAGCTCTTCTAGTGGTTCTGGGAGCTCAGCTCGCGGCTTTCTGCGTATGGAGCAGAGGGTGACGGCATTCACGCAGCCGTTTGTCCAGCGTATGTTCTAGATTGTCCCTTCCAGATCCAGCACAATGCAGTCGAAACACTCCTTCCATACGTACCCTCCACCTTGTCACTGGTAGCGCTGGGCTTTTTGTTTGCGCATCTTCCGGGGGTTAACGTTACTCCTGCCTGCATTCTTCTTTGACACAGATCTGCAATGGTCGATCCAAGTGAGCGACGCGCAAAAAAGGAAGGAGGAGGGGGAGGAGGAGGAGGAGGAGGAGGAGGAGGAGGAGGAGGATGAGGAGGGGAAGGAGGAGGAGGAGGAGGAGGAGGAGAAGGAGGAGGAGGAGGAAAGGGAGGAGGAGGAAAGGGAGGAGGAGGAGGAGGAAAGGGAGGAGGAGCAGGAGGAGGAGGAGGGGGAGAATCGTGGCCAGTGCTCCTCGAGCTCCTCATCTGCGTGCCGGCGTTCGCCGTGCCGCTAAGTCGCGCGGCGGCGACCGGCGGAGCAGGGGCGGCTCCCCGCGGCCCCTGGGGCAAGCCGGTCGGGGATCTGGGAATGCCCCCTCGCGTCCTCCCCCCCTCCTCCTCCTCCTCCTCCTCCTCCTCCTCCTCCTCCTCCTCCTCCTCCTCCTCCTCCCTCCTCCTCCTCCTCCTCCTCCTTCCCCCCTCCACCTTGGCCCTCCAGGTGGCCTGTCGCGCCCTGCCCCCTCGTCCCTCCTTGGGGCCTCCAGGTGGCCTGCCCGGCGCCCCCGCGCGCCCGCCCGCCGCCCGCCGCCGCGGGCCAGCCGGCGCCGCCGCCCGCAGCTGGCAGGGCCGCGCCGGCTGCAGCGGCAGTATCCGGCGCCCGCCCGCGCCCCGAGGGGAGCGGAGGACCCCGCCGCGGGGAAGGATCTCAGGGGAGGGCAAGATACACCTTAGGCGATGCTTAAGAAAACTTAAGTTGTCGGCCAGAGTCTCGACTATTCTTAATGTTTCAATGTAAATTCCAAGATTTGAATCGACATTCTGGGTTTTTATTCAGATTCTCAGACTATGAATTTCTTAACCCATGATTTCTAAAGCATTTCGCAGGGTGTACAGTCAAAATTCATAGTAAGGACGCACGGATGTCCTTGGGGTGCCCTTGCGTCCTTGCCTCTGCGGCCCGTCTCTCAGGGTTTTCTCTGGCGCCAGCCCTTCAGGGTGTTGGCAGCCCGCCGCCCCAAGAGTGCCAACGTCGGCATCCAAGGCCCTTGCGCCCTGACCGCCAGTCCTTGCCATGGATTTTGACTGTACGCAGCACCCCCAGGCAGGTCGCGGGCAGGTCGAGGGGTGGGTCGCGGGGGGGTCACGGGAACAACAACGACGTCGACGACGACGACGACGACCACGACGACGACGACGACGACGACGACGACGACGACGACGACGACGACGACGACGACGACACGGACAACGAGAGCAGTCGAGCAGAAGTCGGGCCACGGAGTGCCACTCCACCCACGCACCCGGGGATGGTCTGTAGGCCGTTTGGCTGCCCTCACTCTGGCTGACACCGCCGCTCGTCCTGGAGAGCCCTCGCCGTCACGGCCAGATTTCAGGAGGGAAAAAACACACAGACACAATTAATCCTCGATTCCCCAGAGAATATGGGAAAATATGGGAAGAGGGGGGGAAGACAGAAACCTAGAAAATATGGGAAAATATTGGGCATCTTTTTATTTGTGTGTATTTATTTGTGTGTCCTGGGGCCCCTTCAAGATTCTTCGCGGGATTTTGATCAGAGCGCGAATCGCCTGCCCCTCGTTCGCTTCCGGACGAAGCCAAGGCCTACCACGCGCCTCCTCGTCGAGCGGCATGGTTGGTGCGGGCCGCAGTGTAGCATCGCTTGGTATCTTTTGGGAGCGGGGGTGGACCAAAGCGATGTCGGTTCGCTTGCCTCCCAGTTATGATCAGAACGTGCCTCGGGAGAGGAGGAAGAGTATGATTTCACCGACAAGTATGTTCATCGTGTGACAAGCATTTTCGCGACCAGTGCGACGTCGTCTCACGGGGCGGATTGTGCCGACGCATGTTGCCAGCCACAGGTGGTCGTTTGTTCTTTGCACGTTTGTTTGAAAAGGGAAATACAAGAAAACTAAGCAACAACAAAAAAAGCAGTACAAAAACAACGAAACAACAACAACAACAACAACAACAACAACAACAACAACAACAACAACAACAACAACAACAACAACAACAACAACAACAGCAACAACAACAACAACAACAACAACAACAACAACAACAGCAGCAGCAACAACAACAACAACAACAGCAACAACAACAACAAAAAAAACATGGCCCCGGGAGAGGTTCGGGGAGCAGCGGTGCTTGTGGCGCGTTGCCCTCCGACGGGGAGAAAGACGGAGGACCTCGCCGCCCACAGGCTTCAGGGAAGGCTCGGGGCCCGAAGTCCTCCGGAGAGCGCGCGCATCACAGTCGCACCGCCACGGGAGCCACGTCGAGCCCGTCGAGTCGAATCGATGCCGTTTCGGAGTTGCGACTTCGACTCGATTCCCCAGAGATCCAGCGTCTTGAAAAAGTCAGGGCGGAGGTTCTTCGCCGCTTTCGGCCTCTGAGGGCCCCCGCCGGGCCTCGGAGGGCCGTCAAACAACGGCACAGGACGAAGACCGGTCCTGGGGAGTGGGTCGAGACATCCGGGGACCCCGCATTGAAAAAAACACGGCATCGGATCTCTGGGTCCGACTCCAGAACCGGGTTCCTACTTCGGCTTGATTTGCCTCTCGTATGTCTCGGACCGGGCTAGCGGCCGTCGATCATGGTACCTTCCAGTCTGCCTGCCGATGTTTGCCGTTCGGGTGTTCGTCGACAGACGATTCGATTCCAAGATGACGGAGGGTCGGCACGAGGGAAGGATCGAGTCTCAGCGTTTTACTTCGTCTTCGCACTTCTCGGATGCTTTTCCAAGCTCGGGATGCGGGATGCTGTTCGGGAGATGGGCCTCGCCGAGGGTGTTCTGGGGGGGCCCAGATCTTCCTGGACGGCCGCCGGGGACCCGATGTATGGCCGGACGATCCGTGACGGGAACGGGTGGTGAGGGAGATGGGTTTTGGAGGTTGTTGGCCGGTTTCGGAGGAGGAGGAGGAGGAGGAGGAGGAGGAGGAGGAGGAGGAGGAGGAGGAGGGGGCGCGCGATGGGCGGCGCGGGCGGGCGCCGAAGACGCCCTGGGACCTGGGACCAAACACCGGCTCAGGGATGATGAGGTGGTCCCGGGGGCAGGCCCCCGGGGTCGCTGGCTCGTTTCCCTTCGGGAGCCTTGAGACGGGGTTCGATGCAAACGGGGGTCAGCCAGGGCACCGGATCCTGCAGGATCCTGCGAAGACCCCCTCTGGCTGACCCGGGTTAGGGAGCCGCTCGTGGCCGCGAGGCGGCCGCGCCTATTGGCTGACCCGGGTTTGCGAAGATCTGCGTTGCAGTTTTTTTGTTCCTGCATTGCAGTTTTTGGTTTCCTGCTGACCCGGGTCTGGATTGACCCGGGTCAGAAGGTCCCCGATCCCTGAGGACCCGCCTCTCTTGTGGCAGAGGATCGCCCTGTAGAGTGAGGTTCGACAGATGTTCCTGGCCCCTCTAGGCCGGAAGAGAACCAGAGACACGCCTAGCGGCATGCACGTGGACGAGATTGTGATCGTAGATGGGCGTGTGAGCCCCGCAGGCGACACCAAATGTGGTACCCGACAATACAAGATCGAGCAAATAGATGCCGTTAGTGGGCTTGCCAACCTTCTCGACCAGATTCCTAATTTCATCATGAGAGAGGGATGTGATCTGATTTGTTTGGGGGGTATATCTGGAGCTGTCTTGGAGAGCTTCGCGGGATCTGGGCAACAGGCTGCCCTCTCTCATGGCTGGTCTGAGGGGGGCGGTATAAAACTGCTCGCATGGTAGGGTCGCGACCCCCTCCTCTTTATTTGAATTGCCCATTTTCCACCACCACCACCACCACCACCATAAGATGGAGGGGGAGGAGGTCCTCCTCCTCCTCCTCGACATCCTCCGCCTCCTCCTCGACCTCCTCCTCCTCGTCCTCCACATCCTTCCCCCCTCCAACTGACTGTGGTGGTGGAAAACAGGTCCAGCATTATTACCAGATCTGGAGCACCCATGCCAGAGTCCACCACGAAAAACCTCTTTCTGGGCCGATCCAGGAGTCCATCCATCAGGCACGGAGGAGGCTTCCCGTTGGCGCCTCCCCCCTCATGTCGGCGGCGGGCACACGCCGCTGCTTCAGGCCCTCGGGAGGAGGAGGAGGAGGAGGAGGAGGAGGAGGAGGGGGGGAGGGAGGGGGAGGAGGAGGAGGGGAGGGGGAGGAGGAGGGGAGGAGGGAGGAGGAGGAGGAGGAGGAGGAGGAGGAGGAGGAGGAGGAGGAGGAGGAGGAGGAGGAGGAGGAGGAGGAGGAGGAGGAGGAGGAGGAGGCGGAGGAGGAGGAGGAGGAGGAGGAGGAGGAGGAGGAGGAGGAGGAGGAGGAGGAGGAGGAGGAGGAGGAGGAGGAGGAGGAGGAGGAGGAGGAGGAGGAGGAGGAGGAGGATGGAGGAGAGGAGGAGGAGGAGGAGGAGGAGGAGGAGGAGGAGGAGGAGGAGGAGGAGGAGGAGGAGGAGGAGGAGGAGGAGGAGGAGGGAGGAGGAGGAGGAGGAGGAGGAGGAGAGGAGGAGGAGGAGGAGGAGGAGGAGGAGGAGGAGGAGGAGGAGGAGAGGAGGAGGAGGAGGAGGAGGAGGAGGAGGAGGAGGAGGAGGAGGAGGAGGAGGAGGAGGAGGAGGAGGAGGAGGAGGAGGAGGAGGGGGAGGAGGAGGAGGAGGAGGAGGAGGAGGAGGGGGAGGAGGAGGAGGAGGAGGAGGAGGAGGGGGAGGAGGAGGAGGAGGAGGGAGGAGGAGGAGGAGGAGGAGGAGGAGGAGGAGGAGGAGGAGGAGCCCTCGTAGGCCTCTCGAGGCTATGTTGGCCCCTTGTTGGCTGCACAGTGGGCGCGCCGTTGGGGATCTGTGGGGTCGTCCTGGTCGGCGGCGGGCCCCCGGGGGAGAGGCGAGAGGGGGCGGGCCTTCTCGGACGAGTCGGGGCCCCCCGGCCTCTTGGGAGGTGTTCGGATCCCTCCTCGAAGGACGCAGGAAACGTTTCGGAAGGCCTGGGCGCCTTCTCGGAAGGCCTTCTCCTTCTCGTGTGCCCCCCTCGTTCGACGCCGATGGGGATGCATGGGGGTCGTCTTGGGGCCACCTGGAGGCCTCAGAAGCCCATGGGAGGCGACAAGGCGAGAAGGCGAAGGAACGTGGATTTTCATTTGGTGTTTAACGGGTTTGGGCCTGTAATGGTGTCCAATGAGGGGTTCGACGACACTTGGGGCCCTCTTCTGGCCCTCTTGGGACCGTTCGGAGGTTTGTCGGAAGCTATCTTGAACTATTTCCGGCTACTTTGAGCCGTTTTTGAGGCAATTGTTGGGCATCTCTGGCCTTTTTTGAGATATCTTGGACCAACCTTGGCGGTCGAACCCCTCCGCCTGGGACCTGGAACAGCTTAGGGAGGGTGGAAAGAGAGAGAGAGAGAGAGATGACCCAGGAGAGGGCTTTGGTAGAAGAAAGCGCGAATTCGTTAGACCACTTACGCTCAGAGGGCTGGTGGGATTTTGCTTTCTGCCAGCGGCGCGACCTTCGCGAGGCTTCACGAGGAGGAGGGTGAAGGGGCGCCGTATCTGACGAAACAGAGGGGGAACAGGGACACTCAGACTTCGCTTCGGCAACTTGCTTGGGGCCACCCTCATGGATATGTTTGACCCTGCTTCGGCTACTCCAGATTTTGTAATAAAGGAAGGGGGGTCTCGTTTCGGGGGGGGTCTCTTCCAGGCTATCTTGGAGGGCCTGGGGGGGTCTGGGGACGATGTTTTGGAGGGTTCTCCCACGGGGGGGTGTCTGAAATGGCTTGTCTTGGAGGGTCCAGACCCCCTCCCTTTTATTACGAAATCTGGAATATGGTTCGGCTCCAGCCCAACTCCAGAGCGACTCGAGTTCGGCTCAAGTCGACGGACGTTCGTCGCAGCGTCGAAGCATGAGTGAACCGGGTTGCTCCAGGAGGATCCCCAGAACGATGCCGCTGCCATCTTGGTTCGAGAGTTGTCGTCGTCGCGACAGGGTGTTCTTTCTCTGGTACACGAGCATCTGGAACCAAACGACACAGGAGATTGTGGTTTGGGATGACCCCGTGACGTCCATTATGCAGGTCCCCCCCATCCCCCCGCCGCAGAAGGGAACGTGCGCGGGATGGGGCTCGGGCCGGCACCCCCACAGGGATGGCCCAGGACTCACAGGCAATAGTGCTGCTGCTGTCAAGATGCCCACTGCCGTGACCGCGCCCGCCATGTTAGTGTTGCCTCGCCACGCGGGCCCGATTCCTTTTTCCCCCCATAGCGGACGCTACGAGACAATGCACGCGCCGGTCGTTGGAAGTAGATTGTTTGGGATCCCCGGGTCCCAGTCTGTTTCAAACGCCTTCCTACTTCAAGAACCGATATGCGCTTGCTGTGTTTAGTTATTCTCCTGGAGGGCCTGAGCCCCATCTTTTTTGTCCGCCTTCCTACTTCATGTGTTCGCCTACTTCTTCCGACCGACGTGTAAACACAAACTCCTGAGCCCAATCAATGCAGTTTCAGGACGCATGCGTGGCCTTGGCGGTTGACGTGGCCGACGCCTGCGCCGGCCCAGCGGTCTCGACTCTGGAGGTGGCGGCGCCGTCGGAGGCCTCAAAGGCGCCCATCTTCTCTGCGGAGCCCCTTGTCGAGCACTCCGTCACGTTCACGGGTGAGACGCCCATCAATCTGTCGCCGCATTTCCCGTGTTTGTTGGGCGGGGATTTCTCTTTCATGTGCACCGCCAGGATGGACGGCGCCCGCCCGTGGAGCCGCCTGTTCGACTTCTCCCTCGAAGCAGACGAGGACAGCATCACAGCGGGGGCCATCGAGCTCACTCAAGACTTCCACTTCACCATCTTCCGGGGCAAGAAGCCAATCAGCGTGCGTGTGGATGGGTTTTTCAAGCTTGGAGAGGAGTTCACCGTGCTGTGCACTGTTTCGGCCGCTGGGCACATGAGAGTGTTCAAGGACGGCGTGCTCGTGGGTGAGAGGACGGGCGGGATGGCGCCGCTACATGTGGACAGGCCGCGCATGATGGTCGGCGGTCACTACTTGTTCCAGGATCAAAACTTCTGTGGTAGCATGAAAGACGTGAAGGTTTGGAACCAAGAAGTCCCTTGGGAGGAACGGTCCGCATCGAGGGTGGTCGTGCACGTCTTGGGCGAGGTGTGCTCGGAGCAGGTCGAGGCATCGGCCTGCTCGGAGTCGGACGGCGGGTTCCGCGGTGCCCGGGATGCGGTGGATCCGACCAGCGAGGACGCGGAGACCTCGGATTCGGAGGCTGAGACGCTTGTCTCCAGGGGCGACGAAGGGTCTGCTCGTCAGTTTGGTGCAGGTATCGGATGCTTCGAGATTGACACCAACACCAATATCGGCGGTATGCTTCCACCGAGGGAAGATGATCCCGATCTCGGCGATGGTGGTAATATTCGGGCGTCCTGGGCGGCCGAAAGATTACCACCAACACCAACATCCAGGATCATCTTCCTCCCATGGAGGCAACCCCTGGTGTTGGTGTTGGTGCCCATGTCCAGGCGTCCACAGGTATCGCACCCGTCGGGGGCAGCGGCGGCGCTCCCCCCGCGGCCGCCTGAGGGGACCCGTGTCCGGGCAGGGTGGTCCAAGTTCGCTGTGGGGATGCTTGGACGCGGTTAGCCCCTTCGGCAATTCTGACGCGTTGCCCTGTCCGCATAGGCCTGTGCCGCACGTCCGAGCCACGTGGGGGATGGCGGGGGGGGGGGGGAGAATGGGATGCTCTCAGGATGTAGTGAGTCACAATGCGCAGCAATCCCTGCCAGAGACTGTTGAAGGTTGTTCTTCATACTCCATTTTAAGTTAGAACGGGCATCACTGAACATTGGTCTGTTGATGTCTCCCTGATCGTCGGTAGCAGGATACCACGAATGCGGGCCATTCGACTGCACCACCTCTCGCGGTGTCCTCTCACAGCTAGGCAAGTTTAGTAAGATCAGTGCTGGCTGATCTTGCGCGCGGCAATAGCCGCCGAGAATTCGCGTACACTCCAATCGATGTGTATCAGGCGCATTGTCGTACTGACAGGCGTCTCTGACTTATGTCTTTTGTGGCACAGCTGGCATCGTTGCATTTGGTGACATGCCTGCCTGATCTGACGCCTCGCGCTGTAAAAAAACATCTATGCATGCATGAATAAATACATATATATATATATACATACATACATACATATACATGCAGATCTATATATAACTATGTATGTATGTAAGTATGCATGTATGTATGTGTGTATGTATGTATACACCTACTTGTTTCTATGGATGACTTATGGCCTTCGGGCCATCCCGCCACCTTGCCTGGGTTGTGGGTCAGAGTTCTCGGAGATGATTATTGGGGTCTCTTCGGAGCGCTCTCGGGGGCCTCATCGGGCAGTTTTAGAGCCTGTTGGGAGCCTCTAGGGGGCCTCTTGGGGGCCTCTCGGGGCCTCTTAGAAGCCGCTTGGGGCCTCTTGGGGGCCTCCTGGTGGCTTCTTGGGGCCTCCTGGGGGCCCCTCGGTGCCGAGGGCTCGAAATGTCCGGTCGGGTCCCCCATTCGGCTCTCTCTTGGAGCCGTCTGTGAGGCCTCTTGGGCGCCTCTTGGGCCGCCTTGGGGCCCTCTTTGGGGCCGCTTTGGGGCCCTCTTGGAGGCCTCTTTGGGACGTTCTGGGGCGATATTGAGGGCCTCCTGGGCAGTCTTGGAGCGCAGGGAAGCCGAAAAGGCTAGAACGCCTAAATCCTGCAATTATTCTGGCGAAGGGCCCAACCATGTGCAAAAGTATGTATCGTCGTTGGTGGATCCTTTCAAGGGGCCACGAAGCGTTTAAAGGGTGTGCCGAAATAGGGCGGGGACGCATGCGGGTGCAGCCACTGGGGCCTTCGGTGGCACCCCATATGAGGCCATGAAATGTGTGTGTGTGGGGGGGTGTCGAGATGGGTCGGGGCCTCCATGAAAACGTCGCCACTGGGGCCGTCGGTGGAGGTCCCTATGGGGCCACGAAGCGCATTGATTGCCGAACTTGCGCGAGACTTTCAAGAAGGGGGCGCGGGCCAAGGGCCAGAAGGGCGCTACAGAGACGGCAGCCGGAAAAAACGCCCAGGTGCATCGTGGAGGCCGACGAGGTTTTCCTGGACAAATCAAAGGTCAGTCGTCTCGCGCCAGGCACCCGCCCGAAGCAGGACAAAGCCTGGCTCTGGGGCGCGGTGGCGCAGGGCCGCCCCAAGAATTTTGTTTTCCGAGTCTTGGAGCAACCAGATGGCGCGTTCGACGGGCGCCCCCGCTGCGCGCGGGAGATGGCGACAAATTCCGGCGCCTTGGGCCTCCGCACGGGCATGGTCGGTGCAACGGATGGATGGAAGGCGACTGTCGCGGCATCGGTGGTCAGGCAGGGATTTGAAGCACGGAAAGAGCGTGTTCTACCGCTGCTGGCGGAAAACCGGGGGGGGCCACTACCGGTTCGAACCCCTCCCCCCCCCCCTCCGGAAAACCGGGGGGGGGTCACTACCGGTTCGAACCCCTCCCCCCCCCCCCCAGCTCATCATGAAAAGGGGGGGGGGTCACTACCGGTTCGAACCCCCCCCCCCCTCGAAAACCGAGTGGGGGTGCGGACAGTGGTGGGGACGGTGTTGGTGGGGACAGTGGTGAGGGGACAGCGGGACAGTGGTGGGGACAGCGGGGGGACAGTGGGACAGCGGTGGGGAGGTAGTGGTGGGGACAGTGGTGGGGACAATGGTGGGAACAGGGGGGACAGTGGACAGTGGTGGGAACGGTGGTGGTGGGGACAGTGGTGTGGGGACAGTGGGAAGAGGTGGAAACACTGGGACAGTGGAGGGTACAATGGTGGTGGGGACACTGGTAAAGGCGTCGGCGAGGACGGCGGTGGGACAATGGGACAGAGGTACAGTGGGGACAGTGGTGGGGACAGTGGGGACAGTGGTGGGAACAGTGGGACAGCTCAGTGGGACAGCGGAGGAGTCAGTGGGACAGTGGGGACAGTGGGGATAGGCAGTGGTTGGGTCCGTGGAGACAGTGGGGAGAGTGGAACCGTGGTGGGAACAGTTGTGGGAACAGTGGGGACAGTGCGACAGTGGTGGGGGCACTGGTGGGGACAATAGGGACGGTGGTGGAACCAGCGGGGGCAGTGGTGGTGAGGACAGTGGTGCTGGGAACAACAGTGGGGGATGTGATGCGAGCGGTGGTAGGGACCGGGAGTCGTTTGCTGGCGGTGCGTGGGGGGGGGGGGGGTCGAACCGGTAGTGACCCCCCTCCGGTTTTCGAGGGGGGGGGGGGGGAGGGTTCCAACCCCTAGTGACCCCCCCCGGTTTCCCGGATCCGGAGGGGGGGGGGGGGGGGGGGGGGGGGGGGGGTTCGAACCGGTAGTGACCCCCCCCGGAGGGGGGGGGGGGGGAGGGAGAGGGGAGGGGGGGGGGGTTTTGCCGGGAGGGAGGGGAAGGGTTCCAGCAGGGGGGGGATTTTCGGAGGGGGAGGGGGGGGGGAGACCCCCGGGCTCCGGAGGAAAAGGTTGGCAATTTTCCACAGTAAAGCGGCGGTGGATCACGCTCTCTCGAAGCACGAGGTCGCCGTCTACTCCCAGGGGGAAGTCAAGAACCCGCGCAGCTTCACGACGGACCGCATCGAGAACCGCTAGTCGGTCTTCAAGGGGTGGCTCAAGAAGCGCTTGGGCGGCCGTCTCCCGACTACCTCTGATCGGCGGAAGTGGGCCCGCTGGGTGACGGAGTTCCAGTGCCGGGGAGCCGTCGCGAAGGCGTATTCCATCGACGGCGGCCACGCTTTCTGCCGACGAAGACCTTCCTCTCCCACGTGGCGGAGGTCACGCAGGCTCGGGGGCTTTGACGCGGCGCCCCGGGGGCACGGGCTGGGTTCGCGCGCGCGTTGCAAGAGAATCGCATAACCTTTTCTTACCTTTCTTAGAATTGAACAGCGATCTCGCACCACAGCGAAGCTAAGCATCATCCAGTCACAGGCGCAGCCGCCGTCGCATCATCCGCTCCATCCAGAATTCTCAAAAACCGCGGGGGCCCGAAAACGAACCGACGCCGTAAATTGCACATCTTATGGGGGGCATGGTAATCCCAGCCTCGGGGGTATTTTTAGGAAGGGAAGTCTACGCGGCGCAACCAATGCTCTTTAAGTTGTCCACTCCACTGCTCGCGCGTTCATCCCGCCCACCCGCCCACCCGCCCGCAACTTGGTTTGCAAACCCCACGAGGCGGCGACTGCGATGAGCGCTTGGCGCAGGCTGGTGCATCTCTGCAGCCGCGACTGCCCGCGCATGCGCGCGAGCGGCGGCCTGCTAGTTTGGCGTGACCGACGCAGCCGCGGCGGCGCTGACCGCTGGACACATCCCAGCCGGCTCTCCAGTGCGAGTCCGCGACTTGGGCGGACGCGGCATCATGGCAGCGGCGACGAGGGTTGACTTGGCGATGATTGCAGCGATGCTTGCGACGGCGCTAACAGCGACGACGGCGCGGCCAGCGACGGCGCGGCGCCCAATCGCACCGACGACGAGGACGGCGCACTCGCGTCTGCAATGAAGGTTTTGGACAGGGTTCGGCGCGCGCGCGGCCGACGCACGAGAGCGGCTCGCGCTGTCTCATTCGACGCGGATCGCCCCCCCCCCCCCCCCTGCGCGCGCGCAAGGGCGCGCGAGTGATGTCGGCATGCGGCGCGAGAGGCCCGCTCGGTGCAATTCCATGCAAATGTTGGACAACCCATGGTTTTCTCAAGAATCAGCAAGAGCGCGAGCGCCCGCTTATTATATATAGATGGATATATATACATATATATCCATATATATCCATATATATATATATATCCATATATATATAGAAAACTGACGTTGCGAAACCGCGTGGTGTTGCGCGGTTGTTTGGACACTCGGTTTTGACATCTCTATGAAACCTGATATTGTTTGGCGGGTTTCAGCGCGCGCGCAAAGACGCGCGCGCGCGTTTTCCGCTACATTTGTTCGCAGAGGGCTCTCGCGACGGCAAGCGCGCGAGGGCGTTCGAACGATTTCGACGCGCGCGCGAAGCCCGTTCGGCCGCGCGTTTTGAAAATGTTGTGAAGCCAATGGTTCCCGAAAGAATTCGCAAGTGCGCGCGCGCCTTTTTCTTTTATGTTGATTTCTGTTGGGGTGAAAATCCGCGCTGCGAAACCTTGCGTTAAATGTCTTCTGGTTTTTACATTCGATTTTGACACCCTTGCGATGCCGAAGGTTTTTCAAAGGATTTCGGCGCGCGCGCGCGGCGACGCGCGCGCTTCGTTTCATATGTTGGCAGAGATTCTTGAACACTTGTAACTGTTGGTAAACGAGTGCGCGCGCGTTGTTTTTTTTGTCGCAGAGGATGGCAGGAGGGGGGGGGGGCGGACACGAAACGGGGCGACGCGCGGTGACAATGACGGCGGCGCGGCCAAAGACGGCGCCGATCCTGGCCGCGCCGACGGCGACGACCGCGCCCACGCGTCGGCGACGACGGTTCTGGGGGGACGTCGGCACGCGCGCGCGGCCGACGCGCGCGAGTGGCCCGCGCGGCTCTCTTTGATAGGGGCCGCGCTCCCCCGGCACGCGCGCAGCGGCGTTCGAATGATTTCGACGCGCGCGCGAGAGGCGCGATTGGTCGCGCGCGATGAACGCCGCGAAAGCCATGCGTTTCAATGATTCGCAAGGGCGCATGCGCAGACATGCGTTTGACAACCCGCGTTGCAAGACCATGTGTTTCGTTGTGAGCGCGCGTGTTTGTACTCGGGGCATTTGATTTTGAAACTCATGCGGAACCCAGGGCGTTGCCAGGATTCTGGCATGCGCGGGCGCTTGCGCGCGCGTGGATGTCGTCAAGGATGTCGCAGGGGGCCTTTGTAAATTTACGTTTCTTGAGACAGGAATGCGAGCGCGTGGTATTATTTGGCGGCGATGCCAGTGGGGGAGTAGATGCCGGCGCGGCTGGGGTGGCATGATTTCATATGGAGAGTTTCATGAGAAGGCGGAATCATGCGCAAATTTTCGCACGCGCGGGTGAACGGTTACTTCCGGCCTCGGCGACGTGCTGGAATCTTCTTTAGACTTAGGCAGGACAACTAATATTGTGGAGTTTGGAGTTGTCAATGCCAC